ATGAGGTTGTTGACTTGCTCGCCGAGCTGGCTTGTTCTTGTTCAGACGTTTTATCACCTTTCTGGATGACATCATCAGTGGAGCCTCTGATGAAGCGGTGTTATTTTACTCTGCTTGAAATTTGTACTGTTTGGTCCATTACAGTGAGTAGTGTCATTTCCGATTTTGATCTGTATGGGTTTGTATATGTGTTTGTGTAGATGTGTAGATCAAAATTCCTACAAAATTGTATAAATTCCAAGCAGAGTAGAATAACATCGCTTCATTGGAGGCTCCACTGATGATGTCACCTAGCATGGTGACGAAACATCTGAATGAGAACAAGCCAGCTCAGTGAGCAAGTCAGCAAACTCACCCACAACCTGAGTTACAGATCTTTGCCAAAACTTTGAATCTGTGATTATGTCAAACATTAACTTTTACCTTATCCTTGCCCTTGGAGTCTTGAATACTTCTGGACAATTTCCTTTAAGTCTTCCTTTTATAACTGTGAACATTTTGGCTGGGACTTTCTTGAAATGTGATCTAAGTCCTGATATTGGGTCAGCAAGAGTTGGCTGCTGCTAAGACTGGAGGGAGAATGAGAGCTGCCCTTGTAGTTTATTTTCTTTGGTGGGACCAGGCAGGCAGGCACAGGCAATTGGAAAGGTAATCCTTTGGAAGAGCCGAGAAGGCCAGGTGCATCTCCCTGGGATATGGAGCCTCTGGCCTTCACCACTTTTTGCAGGCCCAGTGCTCAACCAACATGGTCAGTGGTGTTCTTGCTGACCCACTGTTGGTGATGGACATGAATGTCCCTTACCCAGTGTAAATTCAGCATTTTCTCATTCTTGCCTCCAGATGATGTTCACTACAGAGGTGTATTGATTTATCAGCCGAGGGGTTGCGGGGAGTATTACATGGTGATCAGCAGGAAGTTACCTTGTCCATGTTTGTCCTGATGCCATAAAATCTCAAGAGGTTCAGATTCAATATTGAGGTCACCCATGGCAATTCATCCCCCATCACCTCACCCCGATTGTATACCACTGTACCTCTGCTAGGTCTGTCCTGCCAATTAAACAGGACATACCCAGGGATGGAGATGGTATTGGTGTTTTCTGGGACATGGCCTGTCAAGTGTGGTTTGTGAGTGTGACTACATCAGGTGTTGTTCGATCATTCTGCAGACAACATTCTCAATTTTGGCTCCAACCATCAGATGTTGATCAGGCTGAACAATTTTGAGTTTGTGTTTGTTGTTTCTGGTGCCTAGTTTGATGTCAGGTTGTACAAACATTTTCATTCCATAGAATGTATCTATTTTGCTCTATTCTGTTCAGAAAGCACACAATGTATAGACAGTCAATGTGGTGTTTTATAAATTCCTACTTTAGAAACAAAATGAGTCTGACTCCAAACCAGTACACAACCAGATTCTAAACAAGGCCTCTTACCTAACATGCATTGTCTGACCTAAAATGTCACCTCTTCTTTACACTGATAAAATCTTTAGTTCTCTCAGGACAGCGACTTGAAAGAAATTCGGGGATTTACAAATACATGTTAATCAGTTAAAACCTTCTAACTGATTAAAGATTTAATAACATCTTAGGTTTGTTTAATACATCCTCATCTGTGTGTGATCCTTTGATCTTTTACTTATAAATTCTGTGTCTGATACCACCTCTCTCAATAACACCTGAAGAAAAAGTGAGGCTCCGAAAGCTTGTGTTTTCAAATAAACCTGTTGGACTATAACCTGGTGTTGTGTGATTTCTGACCTTGTCCACCCCAGTCCTACACCGGCACCTCCACATATGAGAGTCAATCACATTGCTGTGGACCTGGAGTCACATGTAAGGCAAACCAGGTAAGGAAGGCCCTTTCTTAAAGGATATTAGTAAACCAGATGTGTTTTCATGACAATTGACAATAGTTTCACGGTCATCATTAGACTTTTAGTTCCACATTTTGTTAGGATTATTAAAGTTCAGTCAGGTTTGTATTGCGGACACGCGCCCTATTGTTCACTTAGCACACTCACTCTAACAGGCTACCTAGATTTTATTCTAACCTAGAACTGGAAATTCCAAACTTAATGGTTATTATTGCCCTACAAATTAAAAGACATAATTCCTTAAAGGGGTGTGTATATTTATTACAGAATTTATTATGTTAATGTGTTGTAGAATCTTTCACGCGAGAGAAAAAAATAAAAATCCGTTTGATAATGAGCTTCTTTCTTTAAAATTTTAACATTGGACTAAAGTGAACTCTGTTAAATGTTTCCATTTTTTGGGGCAGCCACTAACGTGTCCTATTGTTTGTAAAGGGATGATCATCCTCAAATGAGGAAAGGCACTTAAGGAATTTTCCCTTTAACTGTCTGGAAAAGCTTACTTAGAGTTCAGTTAATTTGTTTTGAGGAAGAAGCAATGAACAATTTGCCTCCTCGCAGCTCAAGCCTGACAAACCATATAGGAAGCTGTACTTACTGCCAACTGGCACAATTACAAATGACTTCATTCAACAACATTGGCAGTCATGTTGTGAACAGCAACAGTAAGCTTGTGAATTACAACATAATGCTAAGTAGCTGCAGACAAATAATAGAATAAGAAACGGATGTAGGAGATCATCCCCTTTCAGATAGTTGTAGCAGAAGTGTGGAATTTAGGCCCACATCTCTGACTGTACCCTCCCTCTGCCAGTTTTCTCTGGGTTGGAAGATAGCAGTCAGGGGTGCAGGTAACAGTGTGTCTGTGTAGGGTCGCAAGCAAGATTCCCACCAGTTGGTAGATGGCCATAAATTGGCCAGTGGAGGTGCAGTGGGATTGTCAGACTAATACCAGGAAAGATAGTTGGCTAATAATGTGTCAGAAGATCCCCAAATTACATGCTTTAGGCAGCCTCCCTAGGATGGTTCCAAAGAGAAGCGGTCACTGGAGCAGGTGAGAGTGAAATGGACAGGAGATTTGGGATTGCCATTATTTGCATGTCATGAGTGTAGAATGGAGGGAGATGCTGTGGGAGAGGGTAGAGTTGAGATTGGGGTGGTGAGGTGATGGCATTATTATTGCCTGATTTCCCTCGGTTTCCATTATTTTCTTCCCCATTTCCAGTAGAAATATAGAGGATAATCCAGCTCAATCTCTCCCTGTGTATTTGACTATTATAAACAATGAAGAAACCTTCAAAATGCACTGACAAACTAATCTGAATAATATAAATATACCTCCTTTTTGGACAATCAAACTCTGATGGGATTTTCCCATGTTTTTGCAGATTGCATTTTCTAATGCAGGTATTATATTAGTCCTAAAAGCTTTTGTAAGACATTCAACTTAAACAAGCTGGTATGTATAGTTCTGGGAAAAAAAATGAAGAACTATGGATGCTGGAAATCAGAAACAAAAGCAGGAATTGCTGGAAAGACTCAGGTCTCGCAGCATTTGTGGAGAAAAAACAAAGTTAACGCTTTAGTCCCAGTGACTGTTTTCTTTTTTTAGGGGGCAGAGGGGGGGGGGGGGAGGGGGGAGGGAGTCAGAGGGAAGGGAGGGGAGGAAGATTCCAGAAGGATGGGGTATCTCTAAGTTGTTGCATCCTGAGATCCTTTATGCCTGAAAGGAAAAGAAAATGCTTCTGGTTAGAATGTCTAATGAGCCGAAGAATGAAGTAGAACTGGGGGGGCAAGGCAGCTCTGAGCCAGCGTGCGGTGGTGCCGATGGAAAGAGAGGTCGAAAGTTGGTTTATGGTGACGCATGGCATTGAGTGGTGGATCACAGGATGTGGCGTGAGCAGCTGTCTGCGGAGCGTTGAACATCACGGTGACACCTGCGATCCTGGGTGGATTCAAAACATTAAGGATGAAACTTGATTTGGAATCTGTGTGGGGTGAGTCTGAGCTGGACCAGGCATTGAGGAATATGGTGTGACTGTGGAAGTGAGTTTCGGCAAATACCTTCTCAAATGTTAGGAACCACAACATGGGCAATGATGATGAATAGGAAGAAAATTAGAACAGAAATCTTGTTAGAGAGAGGAGCAGAACCTCTTTAAGGCAGGCATACCTAGAAGAGATTAGGCAGTTGAATTAAGCACTAAACAAAAAAAACCCAAAGAATTGTGGATGCTGGAAATCAGAAACAAAAATTTTTCAGAAAACTCAGCCAGTCTGGCTGCATCGGTGCAGAGAAAGCAGTTTTGGGTCGAGTGACCCTTCACTGGGACTGAAATGTTACCTCTGCTTTCTATCCACACATGCTGTCAGATCTGCAGCGATTTTCTGGCACTTTCTGTTTTTGCTTGCATGTATAGTTTTGGATCTTTTCACACTGGATAGCAGTCGAAAAAAAAGGTGCCTGAGTTCTTATTTTCTTTTTGATAGCAGTCAGTACTGATATGTGAATTAGAAATGTCTCTTGTTCAAGATTTAACAATAACAGCAAACATGTTTAACTTGACAGTGGGTAAATTAGCTATTAGCTACCTTGAAAACCAAACCCTATTATCTGGTGAAAAGAATTCTAAATTGCTTTATAGATCTCCTGCCCTGTATCAACTGCATCCACAGCTCCTTCTTTTGACCTGTACTCTTTGGGATTATGTCACCAATTGCACATGGATTCATTTGATTTAAATCTCTGTTTCACATTTTGCCGCTGTTTAAGGATGTAAAAAAAATCTAGAAACTTTTGTGTAAAGTGGCTGTAACATTATGTTTTCAAAAAGCCAAAAACTTTCTTGCAATATACATCTCATTGAGGAATAGGATATTGATAATGAATTTATAAAGAATAATATGGAACAATTGGTTCAATGTTTTGAGCAAAAATGATACGATATCTACAAGAATCTGTAGCCTGTAAAATCAGCAGTGCCCAATCACATAGTTGTGGAATGTTTCAATCTTTTATGGCTTTTGCTTTTGTTCTTAGGATGGTTATGGTCCCTGTTCAAAATTTTGACTTGTACTCCTCCCAAATTGCTATACATCTGATTTTTTTTTGTTTCCTCAGTTTGAACTACAGCAGATTTCTCATGGTGGATCAAGTGATTCTGGATTGTTGGCCTCTCCCCAACAGGTAAACTGGTTGTTGTCGACCAGCAGTTAGCTCAGAAAACAGCAATCTCCCTTTTAGCCTTTATTATATCAGTGCTACACTGACATTGTACACTTGTGCAATAGAAGTTTTTGTGTGCTGGAAATTTGGGGACTGATGTCAACAATTGCCAGTAGAGAGAAATGGGCTAGTGGTGAATTACCAGCCTCTTTTACCCTGAACCAATTTTCTTTTCCATTAACGTCAATGGTATGGACCAATTTCACAACACATTACCTCAAAGATACTTCTCCATTTGGCACGCTTTAATTTTGAATATTAATTATTGTTTAGAATTGACTTATTACTTACGGGGCAGGTTTGATATAAATAAAATATAGACAATTCCTAACAAAAGTATTTTTATTCCTATTGTCCTTTGCAAACTCCTCTTCATATTTGGCCAGTATTAATCGAACAACAAAGTGAAATTCTATGAATGCCTTTTATAGTTGTGTAAAGTTTCTTCCTCTACCACATTATTGGAACCATTAGCAGGCAATAGAATTTCATACGTAAGGGTTAATAGTTTGCATGCTCATGTTACATGGCATGATTTTTTTCTCACTTTCATACAGAGCTAACAGTCCAGAATTAGATGAGTAAAGATTCCAACCTGGGAGTGCAATTGGTCTGGCCCAGTGGCCTGATAGGGCTCATAGCAGGTTGGCAACCTATGTCAGCATTTCCATTAATTCCAATAGAAGTGTGAATGGAAGAATATTAATTCATCATGATCCAATTTTGAGTTTGTAGCTGCAATCAATTTCACCTCTAAAGAGATAAAATGAGGAATCTTTTGAAATCTCCTTCATGCAACATGCTGCCTTTGCAGTAATGATGCTTCAGTGATAAATCAAGTTGTTCTGACTTTGAAGAATTACTCATTAAACCAATTGCTGTTTATGGTAAATTTGCTTAAGGATCAACTACCAGGTTCATTTAGATTATCATGGTTCTTTCTCTCGGAATTAGAATTTGAATCCAGCTCAGACTGACACAGCAACTATTTCCTTTTCATAGTCATGAATCTCATTTTCGGTGAGTTTTGAAATTCTCAACCCACTTTCTCACAAATGTAAGTTCACATCACAAAATAGATACTATTCAGCAATTTTGTTAAGAAAGCAAAAATAGTTGTTGGTGAGACATGGAAATGATTACAATATTGCAGGGAGGGACCACATTTTTGGCAATGTGTTAGGATACATTGTGAGAATGTATGAAGACAATTTTACTGTATGTCTCATTCATATTATTTCAAAGCTAAAATGCTTTGAGGTGATGCTGGGGACTGTTTACTCAAATACTGATCTCTCACATTGTCTTCTTTAAAGCCTCTAGACCCTGACTTTAACTTCAGTCAAGGCAGATTAGCTGAAAGTGGTTAAAGATGTTGAGAATTATTTCAGGTCTCATCCTGCTTTCCAAGAGTCATGAGAGTGGCTAGTGAGGAAGGTACAAACCAGAGATGAGTGTAAGACATGTTACTGGGGCAGGAAGAAGACCTTTCCTCTTTTCTCTGATTATACCTCTCTGAACTGCATTGGGCCATTATTCTACATTAAAGCTGCTATATAAATACAAATTATTGCTTTCACACTTGACTGATGCAATAGAATTAACCAATAATAGTGCCAAAAATGGAAATACATTCCATTTCACAGTGCTGACAGAAGTTTATGTGGCTTAGCACAAGAAAAGACTGAACGTGGCAGTACAGTCTCAGTAAATTGATGAGAGACATTTATATTTTGAGAAGAGGCATGTAACCTTCGTGAACTCTCTAGCGTCCAGAGAATTTTTAAAAACAAAATAATTATATGAGGGAAAATTTCCAGACATCGCAAAACCCGACTGAAACAATATTACTATTCTACACTCCAAATACGTACCTCAGTCACCTTCTCCATCTCAGAGTTAATTATGATGACTTTTTAAAAATATAAACGAAGGGGATTAATAACTTAAATGATCATTCTCGGCAAGCGTTTTGGTTCTGGCGACAAGAGTCCTCAGCACTCCCAAATCTAGTGATGAGCTTTTGCGAATACTACACTCCCATGATTGGTCAGTAAATCATGAGGTTGTCCAGCCCCATGATTGATGGACTGTTTGGTGAAACAGGACAGGAATTAAAGGAAAATCAATGACCGACTGTTCCAATGAGCTGTATGCATCATTAAAAGTAGATTAATGTAAGATGAAGTTACACTGTACGTTAATTATGTGCACTTTTATCTGTCTTATGTACAGAAATAAAACAATCATTTTTAAAAACATGGAAAATGTTTCTCTTCCTCATTCTTAGTCTGAAGGTGATAGCTCCCATTCTACAACAGATGGACAAGTGGGACCTCCCCAGACAGTGCAAGGGCAACCAAAAGACCTGGAAGCAAAGCCTTCCAGGGAGAAAAACTCTATTTTTCGTGCAAAACCCATGAAGGTCAAACACCACAAACATTCAACTGATCCTTTGGCAGATTATGGTAAGATGCAAAATACCTGTTGAAATCAAATTTTAAATGCAATTCATTTCTATAGAGTTTTGTTTCCTATAACATTGCCCAATTTTGACTCAAAGTGAATGGATTTTTAACAGGTTAAAATCAGCCCTATTATTTCAGGAATGCTATTCACTCGCTGCTCAGTGGCAAATAGAAAAAGGAAAAGAAAATGCATGTACAACTTATCTAGTGTTGCCCTTTGCTGTATTTTAGAATGCTACTCAAAAAAATCATGTCAAGGCTACAATTTTGTATTATTATATGGTGCTAAGCTCTGAAATTTTCCTGCCTAATTTTTGGTTCGGCCAAAAGTGGCAAGCATTAGCTGCATTGAAAATTAACTGGCCAGATATTCTCATTTATTGTAAAAATGTACACTGGCAGATAATCAGTGCAAATGACTATACTTTCTTTATTAGAGGTCATCCCATTTTATGGAATAAGAAATTATTGTAAGATTTCATCATAGCTGTTACCTTTTGAGCTCAGAAATACAAGGGTGAAATTCATATTGATGATAAGTTGGAATGAAAATATATTTGGTGGCAATTTTTGGAAATATCATTTAATAAATGTGTTTAAAGTCCATGATATAACTGGATGTTGAATTTCCTGGCTTATTTGGCTTTCATGTATCAAATGGCTTTCATTGAAAGCACAACTGCTATGTGCAAAGCTAACATCAGCTTGTATGTAACAAGATGAATATTGTCTTTGGTGTAGAAGACAATGGTGTATTTAAAGCTCAAGACACTCGCAAAGAAACCCAAGGTGCTGCTGAGGTGAGAGAAGATGCAGATATGAGGGTGGATCTACCTATTGATCAGGTTAGAATGTAATTGTAGCTTTTGCCATTCTTTGACAAGTACAGAGATGTTTTGTTTTTTCTAGTTTGTCCATTTTGTAGATGCAGGATATGAATGCTGGAAGATGAATTGAAATGAGACATAATTTTATTCCTCCTGCAAGATGTTGTTGGTGTCTATTCATAAACTGTTGTGAAGCATTTAATTTTTTTTATACATATGTTTTCTCCAAGAGCTTATTCATACACTTGTTTCTCTATTTAATCAGATTTCATTTTAGTACTAGCCTATTAGAAGAAACTATATCCTTATTTCATAGTAATTTATTGGCTATTCCTTCTGATAGTCGGATAGGATTCTGTATCTGAATAGATGAGAAATTCAATGGAGTGTGAGCTTCTGTTTGTGGTCCATCTATGCTCATTTACCCAGCTCCATTTGATTAGTTTTTGAAATTGATCATTCTTTTTAAATGGGACAGTATGTTACAATTAACATCTAGTTCATTTAAAATCTCTAACTCACCTTTTATGAAATTAAAAATGACTATATTTAACAGAAAATTAGTTGCATTTTTGTGGCATTCCAAGTCACACATCATCCTAACTTGGGAATATATTAGTGTTCTTTCACTGCTACCAGGTCAAAATCTTGTAGCTCTCCCTGATTGTACCACATGAACTGCTGAACTGCTATAGTTCAAGAAGGTGGCTCCCCTCCAACTTCCTAATAGAATCATAGAATCCCTACAGTGTGGAAGCAGGCCATTCGACCCATCGAATCCACATCGACTCTCCGAAGAGCATTCCACCCAGACCCACCTCCCTATCCTATCCCTGTAACCCTGCATTTCCTATGTCTAATCTGCCGAGCCTGCACATCCCTGGTCACTATGGGCAACTTAGCCTCTGAGAAAGGGTCACTTGACCTGAAACGTTAGCTCTGATTTCTCTCCACAGATGCTGCCTGACCTACTGAGCTTTTCCAGCAATTTCTACTTTTGTTGGTAAATAATATGTTTGATTTTATTTTAGAGATGGTAGGAACTGCAGATGCTGGAGAATCTGAGATAACAAGGTGTACAGCTGGATGAACACAGCAGGCCAAGCAGCATCAGAGAAGCAGGAAGG